GGGGGTTAAAAAAAATCCTTTTTAAACTACAAATCAATTTATCAAATAACCCTCTTTCAGAGCCTTTAAACAAACATTTTTTACACACACACACACACACACACACACACACACACACACTCTGAGAAGTGCAAAGAGCTGTCCCCGGTGGTTTGTGTCATGGCCTGAAGCACAGGGGCCTGAGAGATCCAGATGTCCTGAATGTCAAGAGAATGGGAGAAGGAGAGAAACTCTCTGTGTAACACTGAGGGAGGGATGAGGGGGTGGAGGGGAAAGGCAGGCCGTATCAGACGGCTGCCATGATGCATTCAAGTGTCAGTGTCCCAAAATAGTGGCGGGCGACAACCAGACTGAAGACACCAAACTAACAGCGGCTCTCAGATCGAGTAAACGTCGGCTAACACACAGCACACGACAAACTGTGAAGACTCCCTCTGTCTTCCGGTGTTGTTAATCAGAGCTGTGCAGAACGCAATCGGAGTGGACACTCATCCTATGAGACTAAGGCCACGGCTGCCTCTCCCCTCCTTCAACTGAGGTCCTCACAAACAATTTGCCTTCGAAAATCGTTGACAAGGTCCCTCTGTGCTACGCTGTGTGGACGCAGAGGACAGAGTTTCGTCTCCAGCAGATGTCTTGTGGCGCCGACTATAAATAAAGCCAATGAGACCAGCCGGCTACTGACGAGCTCAATCCGCCGCGAGGCCGTGTTAGCTTTACAAAGGGCCTGTCTGGTCTTGGCATGGCAGGCAGGCAGGCTAACATTTGGCGGCCCTGCAACAATGTCTGCGACGCCTTTGAGCTTTGTGTTCAGGCTTTTAGCACATACATATGGTGGTCCTTAAATTTTTTGTCTTTATCAAAGGAGATTTCATCCAAAAGCAGGTGGAAGGTTATGCACACTGGCAAGGCTCGGCAGTTTAAAAAAAAATGTTGACGCAGTAGAAACTCTGTCACAGTTAATTTCTCCTATTTGCAGTCAAGTGTAGTAAACTCAACATGAGTTAAACATCTGTAAGTAGAAGCTTAACAACCTGCACATTTAACATCGCGTAATGTGCCGTTAGATGTGGTGATACAGTCGGGAAGGAGCGCATCAGTGTAGCTTTGTGTTTCAATGATGACCCTGACAGTCCCAAAGGACACTGGTGGCCCCGGGGCCTGTCTGTCTCCATTTCAGCCAGTTTAACAGCGCCATGTTTGGAAAGGAGAGACTATCACCTGCCACGACAGTGTAGCCAGCTGCAATTAAGATGTAGTACAGTGCCATTTTATTGTGCATTTTATTGAAAGAACACTTAGTGTTTCATGAAAAAATAAATACTCCTAGTTGATGCAGCATAAAGCACTTTGCAGTATCTGTATGATAATCATGAAAAATGTAATGTCTTGAAATTGACTATAAAAGCCTACACATAAAACACGTCCTGCCTTTACAAGAATTCATTCAGACTATAAGTTAGAAATATTTCATTTCATGCTTCATTGCATACCACTTAAGTGCTCAAATACAACCAACCTCATTATTCCATATTTGTTCTGGCAAAAAAATGGAGGGCAGCAACCAAAGAAGAAGAAGGCCAGTGTAACATTTCCACAGTGACTCGGATAAGAATCAGGAAGAAGGTGGAGCTGGAGAGGTGGATATCATGATAATAGAGTTCATGAGAGAGGTATGCTGCTTCCCAATATGCGTTTTTGAAGCATTTCTGACCTCTCTGGCAAAAATATGTTGATTCAGTCTGTACATTTGTCTGTACATCAGTGATTTCAAACTGCTAAACATCCAATCAAACATATATAATGCTTTTGTTTCTTCAATCTTTAACAATAATGTTCTTAATTCTGTCCTTTTCCTGCCGTCATGGCTCCAAGCTGTTTGTTGCTGCTAGTGTAATTGCACAGTACAATTGTGCAAATGGTGAGCCTGGGGCAAATACACCTTCGGTGGCCCACAGAAATCTGCAGGGACTCACAAGAGAAGCACAGACCTGACATAAGAGTTTGCCAACTTGAATTCTTACTTTGATTTGGTCATGGAGAGGGAGAACCCTGGAAATTTTAGAAGACATGAAATGACAGTGCAACCCAGAAATCTAACATTTACATAACATTGACGTGGTGTTTATACATAATTCATTTTTTGCTGTGCACTTTTTGTCAAAACATCATACTTTGTGTGTAGACTACAAGATCTGGCAGTTCTGTTGTCTTCTTATGAGATAGCATTTTTTGCACATTTTTTTTTATTTTTAAGATTGAAAGTCTGAGGTAAGTCTGGCCTTTTCCAAAACCTCCTTGGGTATGACTATAACATGAACCATTGAATGCATTTGCGTTTTTAACTCAGGGTTTTGCAATGGATCAAATATCAGAACATTACTGGAAAAGAAATAAACATAAGATGTTTTACCTTCCTTTTTTTAGTATACAAAACCCATCTGAGACTAATGTAGTAGAGGCTAGTAAGTTCTGAGAGTCATACTGAGAGATTTTGATTCATCCATACAATATACAGTGGATGAATTTTGGTAAAAAGATGAAAAATGATTTAAATTTGAACAGTTCCTTTTGAAGATTGTGGGAAAAAATGCGTGTTCACGTAATTTTGGGCTTTTCACACTTGAAAAAAAAGTCACAGCATTCTGTGATTTAAAAAAAAATCCATTGGTAATGTGTGCAGCAGCAGGAGCTTCTTAACGTTTGCCCTTGCAAGCACGAGTTACCATCTTAACTTGGCATGGCAGCTGACACTTTGCCAGGGTAGATGTGCTGAGAGGTGTATTAGAAGTGATAATGAAGAGCACACTTCCACTTGAGAATGAAGCAATTAAAGTGTGGGTGTCAACAGCAGAGGGACAACAGAGTGTGACTTCCCTCCTGAGGGACTCCTTCGACGTCTCTCACACCTGAGAGGTCTATGAAAGGCTCTTCATCTGATGTGGATTCCTGGTGACAGTCTGCGATGGGAGGGTGTAAAAGAAGCTTGCAGAGAAGTTGCACGACAACCGGAATTCTGAAAGTAGCTCTTAGCATCTTAAATTCCAAATGGATCACACCTGAGATGCCACATGACCTCAAAAGAGCCCTGCAGAGTAGAAAAAGGACTCTTTAAATGGCTGCAAAACAGACCAAGTTTGTGGTTGAGTAAATCCAAAATAATGTACCAAAAAAACTTGCCCCTTTCAAACACTTAGATGGATATAGCATATATTAGATGTCTTATTGTATATTTAATATTAGAGTCTGGTGGGGCGGCACAGGGGTGTGGTCATTAGCACTGTTGCCCCACAGCTAGAGGGTTCCCGATTTGATTCTTTGGGGGAAACAAAACCTTTCTGTGTGGAGTTTCCATGTTCTCCCTGTGTCTGCATGGATTCTATCTGGGTATTCTTGCTTCCTCCCACCTTCCAAAAACATGCATAATTGGAAAATTGGAAAATCCAAATTGCCGCTAGACAAGACTGTGAGTGTGCGTGTTTATTTGTTTGTCTCTGCGTGTCCCTGCGATGATCTGGCAACCTGTCCAGGGTGTACTCCACCTCTTGCCTGTTGTCAACTGGGATAGGCTCCAGCAACCTCATCAGAAATTAGCAGTAGCCTATAGAAAAACGATATGGAAGGATGTATGACTGGTGGATGAAAGTGCTGTCTGTAACTTCTTCTTTGGTGGCCTACATGGGTATTTTCTTCACTTTGCTGCTGATATTTAGTTAAATTTTCTCAATTTCGAAATTCAATTTCAAAATGTCTATTGGGATAAGTTCCAGGACCCTTCTAGGAATAACTAATTTAGATAATGGATGGACAGATTTGTACATATAGACATAGCTATATATAGAAGTAATGTTTAATTAATAATTTTATTAAATGAACAATTTTACTATTTGTTTTTAATATTTTTCTTTAAGAGTGCATGTTGTTTATACCCTTTTGTGTTGTTTGTGTTGACACTTGGGCCTATTGATAACCTTTGTATTGGTGGGTGAATTATGCAAGATAAAATATTTCTGAAATTCAAAGTAGTACAAAAAATCATGTTGGTTTGTGTGTGTATTTATTTATTTGTTTGTTTGTTTGTTGTGTTTTGTTTGTTTCTCAACTCAGGCAGTATTTCGACACCTTGCAGGGGTCCTTAGTTATTGATGACGTATGTAGTGACTCTGAAGATGTTGGAGCTAACTTGATCAATATTACTGAGTTGTTGTGTGTCCAAGCGAACGAATTTTTATAAATGCATAATATCTATTTTTAAGCAACAAAATGCCTCGAACTATACTCACACCAAATTAAAAGGTAAGGATATTTTAAAACCTAAAAGATTTCAGCAAAGCTACGTGCTAACTTGGGTCCTGTAGCCGGTTCATAGCTCTAATTAGCCAGCGAGACGCCAGATCGCACTTAAAATTGAGTCACTAAACGAGGGTTTTTTAAATCTCAAGTATAATTAACTTGGCAATAGACAACTTGAAATCATTGTATCGCTTTGACGGTTGTTTGGTTACATTCGGCTTAGAACAAATATGCATTCACTCCAAAGATATGTGTTGTTAACTAAATGAAAACAACAGCGTTAACCAAATGAAAACAGCCTCCGACTTCTTTTGTACATGTCGTACAGTCGACATATGATATTTAATTAGTTTTTTAATATCGATTTAGCATTACAACCTGGTTGACATATTCTCTTCACCATCAGGGCAGAATGGGGAAGGTGGTGATGGCTAATGCAATTAACATGAGATTACATTGTAGCTGGACCTATAAAGTCACCATGTTAGCTTACATTAGCTGTTCAAAGAGAACTACATTTGCTTTGAGGAAGTTGCACAAATTCGGTATATATTCTTTTGACACTTAAGATAAAAGACAACAGAAAAAGTCATTTATAAAATCTGCACGCCACTAACAAAATGAATACGCTTTGATAATGATCATGACTTGTTTGGCATTTAATGATATGTTCAGATGGAGTATTAATTTGATTTGTGTTTTATTTCTTGTGTTTAACATCAAGTCAGAATAAAGTCGACTTTGCTGGCCCAGCTATGCCCCAGAAACCCCAGAAAAATGCTCAGACTGCACACTACATTGAGCTGGGAGGTTACCAGTACTGGCCTGTTCTGGTGCCCAGAGGGATAAGACTGTACACTTATGAACAGATCCCAGGGTTTCTAAGGGAGAACCCCTACATCACAGATGGATACAGAGCCTATCTTCCCTCGAGGTTATGCATCAAAAGGTGAGAAGCAAACAATTTATCTTATACAGTCTCATTGAACTATTAAAAAACATATTATCTCTTCATGTTACTATTCAAAGAAAGTATTCAAAGTAAATATTTGCTTTGTTAGCCTTCGGAAATAGTTCTCCGGCTACTTGAAATTTACCCTAAAGTTATTTTCGGATGTTGGCTACCTTTATGCTTAGTTGCCTGTCAATATAATCACACACTGCTATGATAATGTTGAGGTCTGTGAATGACTGACATTATTATTGCTTGTTATCAATTCTGAATATAATCCGTTTTTGCTGTGTATGGGCATTTTAAATAAGCATTCCTTACCAAAATATATCCAAGAGAACAGAAAAGATGCTCTATTTTCTGATAGCCAATTGATTCATTTCTTCATAATATTGATAATGTTCAGCTTACACATCACAAATAGGCTGTATTTGATTACCCCAGCATTAAGAATCATATGTATTCCGTAAAGCAGCTGCAGTTTGTAGTGTAATTCATTTTCATATTTCTTAATGTTCAGTTTGTTTGCTGTCTTTGCAGCCTCTTCATCCTGTCCAATGAGACGGTTAACATCTGGAGTCACCTTTTGGGCTTCCTTCTTTTCTTTTGTCTTGGGGTGTACAACATGTCCTGTGTGCTGCCAACCTTTGGCGCCTCCAGAGAGGATTACGTCATCTACTCCATCGGACTATTTTGCTTCCAAGTAGGAGTTTTTCCTGTCTGACTTTAACATCAAAAGTCATTCCACATGTCTGGTTAAGGCGTTAACCAGAAGTTTGAGCAGATGTTAGAATTTTTCTATGAATAAAATTTCATTAAACCGTTGGTTAGTTTTATACACTGCTGGCATTAGTGAAACTGTATATATTGGGGTTTCAAATGCTTTAAGTGATCGTAGTAGAGCAAATTGCATTAAAGTAAACAATCTAAATTAGTGACGATGGCACATAGATAAAACATATTTTTTATTTTTCCATTTAAAAATCATAATTTAAAAAAAAGATGTCCTTCCATTCAGTAGTTTCCAGTTCACTGATATTTGTCTTAAAATAATCTGCCTCCTATGTAAAATCATACTGATAATCTGATTTAAATTAGTGGTTCATCAATCGAACAAGAAACTGAGGTGGAGGTGGAGAGCTGGGCCTCCTTTGATGAAAAAAATAAGATTGAGTTCAACGGATTTTGCTAATTTGCTATGTATTTACCAAACGACTGGGAGACTCTGCAGTATATGTGTTTTAGTAAGATATCAGAGAAGAGCATGAGTGTGTTATTTTGTTTTCTATACAAAATACAATGTTTTACATACATGGGCCAGACATGGCCATCATACAGCATGTGTTTTGGAATTGACGTGATGGCTGTAATTTCTGACACTGCTGTCCGTTACATCCACAGTTGTGTATGCTGTGCTCAGTGGGTTTCCACCTGTTCTGTTGCCATCGCTCAGAGAAGACTAGTCGCCGTTGGATGGCGCTGGATTATGCGGGCGTTTCTATTGGGATCCTGGGCTGCTACGTGCCTGGAGTCTTCTACACTTTCTACTGTAATAATGTGAGTTCATCTAGTTCATAAAGTTTTCCTCTCATTCTCAGTAATATCTCAGGAGCTTTACTTTTACCAGAGTAAAATAGTAATCTGCTTCGGAGCAGGGCAAAGAAATCCAAATAAGTTAATTCCAAATTTTCCAGTCTACACAGAGTCTTTCTCCGAAAAATACTTTGCTAAGGAAACCAACAGATTACAACGATTTCCCTCAATCAACCATCCTGAACATATGATCTGCCTGACCAGATATAGGAGAGGGTACCAAAAGAAAAGAAAAAAACTGAGGCTGAGAGGAAATACCTGAGTACAACCTTCATCCCAGTAAGGCACAGCTATGCTAGGAGCATTAACTAAACCGTAATCAAGTTAAGGTGGTGGAGTGCTTAAAATGCCTTAACCCACCTTCTCCTCTTTTCTGGGTTTAGGCTTCAGTGTTTTTGGTTCTTGAATCAGGAGAGGTGCACTGAGCTTGATGCATCTGGCCGTTTATGATCTCAGACATGGTGGATAATACTCTTGTATGAACTTGAATTCCGCTTAGTATCCCTCCTTGAAACTCATGACAGTATTTTATTATGATGCTGCCCTCGTGATGTTTCACTCCGTTCCGAAACCAACATGAATACTTAACTGGAGTCTGGAGCAGGATGGAAAACAGTCAGAAAAAGTTTTCCTTGATGAGAATATACTTTGCCAAAACGTCTTTCCTTGATTCTTTGTAAAGATAAAATGCCATTCTGGATGTAGTTTAAGCTATAAATGACTCATTTGAATGTTATCGTTTGTGTGCATGAAGCACCACTGAGGGTCCTCTGTGGAGCCCTCGGCCTCAGACACAGTAATTGAATAAAGTGGGCCTCTCGATATGGCTCTACTCCTTGACTCATTGTTCCCAGTGAATAAGCAACACAACACCTTCGCCTCACTCGCCGTTTGGAAAACAGCCTCCGATGACACAGGCCGATTTCAGCTCCTCACTCCAGCCGCCCACCACCACCAATTTTCTTTATTTTTTTAAACTCCTGAAATGTTTGGCTGGCCGCCGCTGTGCTCGCTTCTTTTTTCCCCCGCATATTGGAAGCGCCGGGTTATTTTGCCCCCAGAATGTAGCTGAAATCTGCTCCAGCCCGGACCAGATGGCTGCGTTCACAGAGCGGTCCGTCACTCCTGTTCCCCACCATATGACGCTCACAAGTCCAGGAGCTCCTCTCGGCTGAGCCCCCCCCCCCGCCACCCTGCGCCCGCCCACCCACTCGGTGCCAAGGCTGGGTCTCTGCTTCTGGGTGGCACCACTCCAGTGGCAAGCCAAGTCCCCGAAGAAAAACAGATTTTTTATTTTTAGCCAGTCAAACTCGCGTCTCTCCGGCGCGTTTTTCAGAAACGCGGACCGAGAGGGAGATTGGAGTCGGCGGCGAGAAAAAAGCTCTGAAAAATTTTGGCTGAATAGAGCAGGGCCTTGTTCTGGGTGCAAATTTATGCGCTGTGAAATTCAGCAGGACTCATCACACGAGGACGTGTGACTGGACGGAGGCCTGCATCCACACAAATGGACAGAAGGGGCTGAGACGAGGCTGTCCAGACTTTGCGCTGCTACTTATAGAAGTTTAAATATCAAGTACAGATCTGGGGACAGGTTGCTGCTTAGCAGTGAGAGTAACTAAAATGTTGTGTGTGTGTGTGTGTGTGTGTGTGTGTGTGTGTGTGTGTGTGTGT